CCAAATCCCAAATACTAGTAATTTGAGATTTTGGCGTCCCAAATCCCAAATGATTTGGGATTTGGGCAACACGTATAGACATAGCTCGTGATATGTAGATCCTGTTCCTCCTAGACCTATTAAATCTTGAAGAGCGATCCTAACATGACAACCTCACTGAATAAGTGTTTCCCCTTCAAAGATCATATTAATGGAATCATAAGGTTTCTCAACATCAATTACTCTATTAAGTACATTATGTCCACTAGTTATTGCGAGTCTTCTATTTATATTATGATGTGCTCTGGACATATTTAACGATTATATGAGATTTAAGTATATTTAGAGGTATTTTGACCTAACAGATTTGGTTCAATATATATGATTATATCTGAATTCATTTTTTGTTGATTTAGATCTACGCTTAAAAGATAAAGAAGTTGTTTTGATATATAAGGATATAGAATTAGTAGAGCTGGCACAGCTAAGACTATCTATTGTTGAGAACATTGTTAATCTTTCTAGCTCATCATCCCGCCTTTTCGCAGTACCTACTTAAAGCCAGATCTTAAATAGGTTAACTACTTTTCTTTTCTGAGAAGCAGAGCTACATTGTTCTACAATACTAGAGAGTGTGTTAGCTACAATTGTCTGACTTCAAGTAATAAAGTTATGAGAAGGTGGGATCCAATTCAAAATTATTTTCTATACGTCGATATGCTTCGAAGAAGTACCCCTGATCTTATACTGAGAAATACGAGACATATCTCTTTAGAGCTGTGGAGAGTTTCTGAAGTTATATGTCAGAAATATTATCTGAGCTAGGTTTGAAGTATTTGACTTATTTGACTTTTTCTGGCTTTAAGCAGATATTGCGGAAAGGTAGGTGTTGGTATTTATATGTGTCTTGATGTGAACTAGCTTCCAGATGACACTAACTTCGTTATAAAATCAATTGTATATATTAACTAGTTATATACGATTACAAATGATAATTGACCAGAGCATATGAAATCAACAAATGACTTGTGATTACCACATGAATAAAAATGTATTTCAAACATATGCTCCATTCTCGAATATAAGTACCAAAACTAGTTCATAAATTGTACTGGTAAATAGTTGTGAGAATTTTAATATGAGCAGATTTCAATAACGAAGTATTTTTACTAATAATTATTATGTGTTTATTATATAATGTCTAAATTACGTGAAAAACTATCTCAATATATAGGCTTTGAGCCTGAGGAAATTCACCTCCCAATTACAGATGAGGATAAATAGCTTTTTCGAGAATTGATAACAGGTCAAGAGGAGATGATAGATATTGTAATGAATGAGTATCGATTTTTGCAACATTATGGATATAATTATAAAGGAGGAGAATTGATCCATATAATGTGGGTGTATATATGTACTGAAAAAGATGCTAAGAAGGTGTTGATAGATGTACCTCCATCTAAGATATTATCGAGAAAGGTTTTAGCTCATATTGAAAAAAGATTCGAGGATTAATCACTTGCACCAGTGATTATAGTTGATTAAATAATTTGTATAACTCGATATTTCCGCTAAAATAATTAACCTACCGTGTGATATATGCCATAGAAGGAATTCAAATGTAATAGAACCTGCATATATCATTAGGTCATGCGATACACTGATTACCAAATTTAATTAGCACCCCTTACATCTGCATATCTGTGTGAAAACATCTCAAAAGCAGATATATAACATCGCTTTTTTTTACTTTCATCGATCTTTATTTATATTTACCACAAAACTAATCTGATATATTGTACTTTTTACAAATAGGGATATCGATAACCTAGTTTGAATAATCGACTCGAGATATACACATATCCTTTGTTCTTGTGCATACGCTATCTTTTTTCCTAATCTATTCTTCAGTGAAATAATGAAAAGTGATAAAAGGAAAGTATTGTGAACTTCTTTATCTACATTCAAATAACTGACTATGGATCATATACATATCCTTTGTTCTCATGCATATGCTGGCTTCTTTCTTAATCCATAAGTCGAGATACTAAAAAAGGGAATAATAAGATGCGTTAAAAGGAGAGTATATTAGTGTTGTTGGAAGCTTTATTTGCGAAAATATTATCTAACAAAACTAATATCCACTGAATATGTCTACCGATTTACAAACAAAAATTTATAATTTCTTGATTAACGCAGAAGAAGACCATATAACCGCTGGGTCAGTTATTTATCAAGCTATAGAAGATGATACTTGGTTAGAAAAAAACGAGTTGAGGGGTATTATAGAACAGGCGGTATCATTTGCTAATAACCAAAATGTTCGAGGTTCTTCACGTCATACGACACTCCTTGAAATTCTACTTGAAGTAAGTTATTTAACTTTTATTAATAAATAGATAAATATCGAATGATGAATAATGCAGACAGTGATATCATTCTGAGTAAAAAAAAATGTAATAGTTTAAATATCCTATTAGCCCACTCACAGGAGAAATCCTCGGTAATGTGGAGGTTATTTAGGCTAGATATATACTTTATTCTATGTGGCTGTTTTAGTATCACATAAAGTCTTATTTACATGTTGGAGTAGCTAACCACACAAGGATATGGCTTTATTTATATTCTGACGACGCATACACTTTTAGAAAAACTAGTACAGGGTGCTATTATTGAATCTAACTAAAATAATTGTATTAGTTTGAAATTTCTTATAAAACAGTTCGTAGTTTACACATTATTGGAGCGGTGAAAACGAATGAAGAAAGACCTCTTAGTTCCGGTCAAATCGAAAAAAATATCAAAGCGTTAAAAGGAAAACTTAAAAAAAATCCAGCACAACTTCACTTATAACTCAAGTAGACGAATTTTAACTTTATTATATATGACAATACATTATTTGCTAATAACGAATCCTTGATTTATATATGTCACGTGATCTTGTCCTGAAGGACAGGGTCACATGATTTGTGGCGCAGTTTTCATGATTTTGTCCTTTATATATTTGATTTTCTCTACACTTAACTTTGAGATAGAATCCGCCGAAAAAGATTTTACTAATTCTATTTTTTCGATACCTATGCTACTGAAAAGAAAATAAATTTTCTGGGCTCTTTCCTTTCTTTTGTTATGCGCATTCTCAGAGGCATCGGGAAGTTTTTCTTTTAGCTCATCGTTAATATCTATTTGAGCTTGATATAAATTATGCGATTTTTTATAATAATACTCAAAACGTTGTGATACCACTTTCCCAAACAAAAAATATGACCTGATAACTTCTCTACTTGCAATCTCTTTTCGCAATTCAGAATTAGTAATATTATTATATAAATAAAGTAAATCTTCAGATGACCTAGACATCGCTTCTTCACTAATTTCAGATACCTGCGGACTATTAGTAGTTAACTCCTTGATAAGTCGTTTCAGCATCTGGGAATCCTCGTTTTTAACTTCCTTCTTTGGCTTCTTACTGGGAGATTTATCTTGAGTGGTATTCGCCTCTTCAGAGTTAACTTCGATAGGTCTTTTTTGAGGTCCTTCAGCTATACCGACGCTTTTGTCCTTCGAACCATTATCCGCATCCGTCATCTCCTCATCAATAATTTCCTGAGATTGGATAGTAAGTTGCTTTCCCATCTTCCCAACTATTGACGAAGTGCTGGATTGAGAATCGGGCTCAGTAAACTCCTCAAGAATTTCAACACTTTTACCGCAGTCGGGGAATGGACATGTTTGTTGCTTGGTAAGTAGAAGCTTTTTCTCAATGCAGATTCTATGATACGTGTGGCCACAAAGTAGGACTGTGAATGCTTTATTGGGGCTGGCAAAAATTTTCTTATCGCATTCTACACAGTTAGGTAACTCGGTGAATTTCTTATTTTTAACTGTATCGTCATTGAAGTTTTTTAGGATAGTATATGCAAGGTTTTTAAGATTAGTAGCTGAGACTTTTTCCGTTCTCGGCATAATGACCATGTAAAACAGATAAGTTCTTGAACTACAGACCTTTACATATATTTGCTCATACGTCGTTCGAAAAAATTATCCCAACTTGAAATAGCATTACATCCGAAAGTTTATTATAGCAGAATCGATATGGAAAGGCGAGTTTCATGATCGTCAAAAAAACATAAAAATTAGAAAAAATACCCAATGGGAGCTTTATGTGAGAAATTGGGTCACACGAAAAACATGTGAATCTAACCTGTAAAGTACGTCCAAACACATGCAATAAAAATCAGAATATCGTGATCGCGGTTTATTATACGATCAATTTATATATCAAGGCTATAAAAATTCTTTACGTACCTTTGTACAATTATATACCTTGTTCTTATTTCGCTT